TTACTTACTCAGTTACCCTTTTAACCCCCCCCCCCCCCCCGTCTACCCCTTCCCCAAAAGAAAATCTATACATTTCACTGCACCGCTTTGTATATAAATTCCATAATAATAACATCTCTATAAATTTCTGTATCCCTTCCACTTCCATCTCTCTCGCTACCCTAGAACCTTCTTGAGACCCCTTTAAATTCCTCACTTTCTCTCTCTATAATCTCTCTCTCTCTATATCTCTCTCTCTGAAGTCATATGGCTTCAGGTTCTCCTTCACAAGCCAGTCTTCTCCTTCAGAAACAACTCAAAGGTACAATTCTCTACATACCCATTTTTGGGGTTCTCTTATTTAATTGGGGTGTTTTTAATTGTTTTATTTGGGTTTTTAATTTAAAGATCCGTGCTTTTTCCTTGCAGATCTCAATAGAAACCCAGTTGATGGATTTTCAGCAGGTTTAGTTGATGAAAATAACTTATTTGAATGGAGTGTTACAATTATTGGCCCCCAAGATACTCTATAGTGAGTCCTTTCTATTAAAAAAAGGATTTTGAATTTGGGCTTACAGTTCTCTTTCTCTCTCTTGATTTTTTTGGTTTAATTAAGGACCATTTAATCGGGTTTTGAATGGTTTCTGGATTTTCTGTATGCAGTAATTCTAATGAGATGTCATGATTGATTAGTGTAATTCTATTGAGATTTCATGATTCAAGTTAATTGGGTTCTGAACTGTTCAAGTCTCTACTGCCATAGTTTGTAATTATGTGTGTGCAGTGGCGGAGCTAGGAATTTCACTAAGGGATGTCAAAATATAAAGAAGTAAATACACAGGAAGCTAAGGGGAGTCAACATATACTAATATGCATAAAAAAAAATTTTTGACTTAGCTATACAATGTAATTTTCCGTTTAAAGAGCTGACACCCCTTATCCTAAGGTGGCTCCGCCACTGTTGTGTGCAAGGGTTCTCTAATTTTATCTGGTAAAGATAGTAGCTTTATATTGGAATTGAATGGAATATGGCAGAATATGTAGTTGATTTGATTGGTTGGTTGGAAAAATTGGATCTTGCATCCACCTTTTTTTGTGGTGATGAACAAGTTATAGACAGCATTTTCTTTTACAGGGTACTTGTCCGAAATAAGAGTTGGGGCGGAAAGTTATTTGAACTTTATAAATAAGGACCTCTTATCAGTCGGATTTGCACTTTGTATTGGAATTAAAGGGAATATAGCAGAACATACACCGAATTAGATTGATTGGTCGAAAAGTAGGATCTTAGCATTCATCATTTTCGTGAGGATGATCACTCTTATCGGTTGCATTTTCTTTTCGTGCATACTTGTTTGAAATAAGAACGGGACGAAAATTTATTAAAAATAGGTTAACTTTTATCAGTTAACTTTACACTCTTTCTTGTTACTGGTTTTGAGAGAAACATTATTCTTAATTTTCCTTTTTCCATTTTTTTTGCATTCCGTTTTATAACTGTTCCTCTGTTTGATGGTCCTATAACATTAGATATGATTTCTGAAAGATTTCACATGTGATGTTGTCAAGAGTATAGATTTGCATTGTCCAATGTTAATATGTACAAATAAGTTTTGGGAGAAATGCCTAACGTCGCATAATTGTTATAATTGCAGTGAAGGGGGTTTCTTTAATGCTATCATGAGTTTTCCTCAAAATTATCCTAACAGTCCTCCAACTGTGAGATTTACCACAGATATCTGGCATCCTAATGGTTTGTAGCGACATATCTATTTTATAGGCTTCATTAAGCTGTTGATCTTCGTTACCATCATCATTGCTGATTTTAGTTTTTGATTGGTATTCCGGTATTATATACAGTTTACTCTGACGGAAAGGTTTGCATCTCAATTCTTCACCCGCCCGGTGATGATCCAAATGGCTATGAGCTTGCCAGTGAACGTTGGTCTCCTGTCCACACGGTATGGCTGCTGAAATATGCATGCAGAGTATCTGTCTTTCCTCCTATGCCTGCTAATCTCACTCTGACTTCTTGCAGGAAAATTTGTTCCCTTATCCATTTCAAACAATACTGCAAAAAACTTACTTATAGTGTACTTAAGGGGGTTAATGTCTGTCAAGGATTTGCTACTGTTTCAGTTTGCTTCCTGACGAATAATAAGAAAAACCAAAAAAGAAACTCCTAAGATCTCCTGTGGTACTAATCTTAAAGAATAACAACTACTATGCCTCAGTCCCAAACGTGTTGGAATCCTCACTTCTTTCTTTAAGCTCAATTCATATCATCATCATGCCTGAATAAAATAAGAGTAATAGTGAAAATAAGTTTTTTTATATATATAATAATAATAAAATACCTGGTCAAAAAAAGTTCTCTAATTAACGCCTATTCCTAGCTACAGTTTCACCTATATGGATCTTTTTCTTCCATTGTGCCCTATTTTTGGCTAAGTTAGAGCTGGCAAAACGGGCCAGCCCAGCCCAAGCCTCGTGGGCTTTTTAAAATTTGGTGGTCTAGGACGGGCCGGCCCGTAATATGAATGGGCTTTAAAATGGCCAGCTCAACCCAGCCCTAAGAGGGCCGTGGGCTAGGACGGGCCAACCCTTCAATTTTTTTTTAGAAAAAAGAATTTCTTTAAATCCTTAAATATTTTTTCATGACGTAGTCGATTAATCATGTAAACAACTTCTGTTTGGTTAGGGCATACAAAAAACTTGATATTTGACGAGGAATCTCATAATTGAAATGCATAATACCTATATCTCTAGCTCTTCTTTTTTAAAGTTGCATGAATATTAACACTTCTATTTCATCTATATCTCTAGCTCTTTTTTTTTTGTATTTAAAATTGATCTTTTTCTACTAAAGAGTAGATTAAATATTAATAATATATTAAAGTAATTCAAACTGATCATTGGCCACTTAAAGTAATATTTTCTTTTGAAAAAAGATTATTATTGGCCACCTAACTTTTCGAGTTTGTTATTAATTAAGCAAAAGAAATTGTAATTTTGTCATATTACATGCATGTCAAAAATCTAAAATCTAGTTGATATGGAAGGTAAATGAGCAATCTAGGGTTGGGGAATGAGGATTATAGTTAATAGTATTTTTAGTTTTTACTTTTTTTTTTTTTTTAAATATTTAATAGTTAATTAATTTAAATTTAATTAATTTTTGGCCCACGGGCCGGCCCAAGCCTAGCCTCGGTCAAGCCTCAAGGGCCAGCGGGATGACTTGGGCCGGGCTTATAAGCCTCAGTTTTAAATGGCTCAAAAAATCCTAGCCCCACCCTACCCAAGTAGCGGGCTGGGTTGGGCTGGCCTCATGGGCCAAGCTCATTTTGACGGCTCTAGACTAAGTCTATATTGATTCCAAGGATTTGTAGGTCTTTCGAGTCAGCTTCCCATGTGATTTTAGGTCTACCTCGTTCCCTTTTTACACACCTTCACTCACCATACTTGCACACCTACGGACCGGTGCATATGTAGGGCGACGCAAGTAGCACGCATTGAGGATAAAGCGAGAGAAGGTCGCAAGACATGGCTAAACCATCTCAAGCGACCTTTCATATTATCCTCAATTCGTGCTACTTGCACCTTCTGTTTCTGTGGAACATGGTCATTTTTATTTTATCTAATTTTGTATGGCCGCACATCCATATTAGCATCCGCATCTTTGCAACAGTTATCTTATGGATATGTTGGACTTTAGCATTCCAACATTCACTCCATATGAAATTACCAGTCTTATGTTGGACCTAATCTTAAACACTGCCAAAATTCTTTTAGCGATCTTTTGATTCTTTGCACTACTCTTTTCTTTGTAAAAGGCAATGTAAGGGCAAGATCACCCCAAGAACCCGGGATCTGTGATGAATGTTGTAGTATCTTGTGATTGCTGGCCTTCTTTTTATGATATACTTCTTTTTAATGCTTAACTCTCTTGAAATATCCTGGTACTTTGCAATTGAGTAGGTCCTGGAATTTCAGAATGGACTCTTGTCTTTAAATCCTTCATCCCTTTGTCAAATGCATCATGTTTACTGTCTTCATTCCCAAGTGCATACATGAAAAGAATGTTCCAGATTTCTTTGATAAAATCTGAAGAAGTAGTGAATATACATGTTTACTCTCTCTCTCTCTCTCTCCATGAAGTATTGAACATATGAATGAGGAATTAAGTTTGGTCTAGAAATTGCATGGGAGTTCTTTTATTATATGATCTAACTCTTGCATATTGGCTGATCATCGCTTATATTGACACTTCACTTGTTTATGTAAGTTGGTTCTTGAGCTTTTTGTGATAAACTTGTCTCATAATTAACTCATACCACCGCCTATAGGGTTTACAACACTATAGGTATTTATATACTAGCATTTCCAAAAGCAATTCTATAATGCAAAAAAGAAAGAAAGAATGATCTTTGATTTATGCCCTTTTAGTGTAAGTGGAGAACAGTAGTGCTCTAGTCTTTTGTCTCTTTCTGACTTAAAGAACGTTTATGCTTAGTGGGGGACCATAAGTGTCCCGCCGGATGTGGAGAGAAAGAGAGTTTTCAGCAGGTCCTGGCGATTCAACACTTTAAAGTATACTATATACAATGTGATCCGTATTTATTGTGATTCAAATGTCCTTTTTACATTTTCTTTCTTTTGTGATTGTTTGGGGCTATGTTGCTTGGAATCTTCAAAATTCCATTAGATGCGTATCGGATCCACCAAAAATAATGCGTTTCTGGAGGATCCGATACGGGTGTGGCAGCATTTTGGAGAGTCTATGACATAGGTTTGGGGGAGAGCATCTTGTGTATACTGCTTTCTTTACTTGAACAGTGTAACTTCTAATTAATCAAAATTGACTTGGAGAGTTTTCTGCAGGTGGAGAGTATAGTTTTAAGCATCATATCCATGCTTTCGAGCCCTAACGATGAGTCTCCTGCTAACGTTGAAGCTGCTGTAAGTAATCTGATTTATGAATTTCTTATCGTTGGTCCCCCATAAAGCAGGACCTACTTAATTTCCGCAAGGGTCGGAGGGCGATGTTCACCTTGTCCAATTCACATTATATCACATATTCATCTGGGATTTTTTAGCTTTATGCTTAGCAATATCCTGCTTCAATCGTAATGTCTTCGATTTCTCAACTTGTGGCAGTCAAATCTTAACTGAAGTTATGATCTGTGTAATGATAAAGATCAATTAGCTGATGAATGATATTTCTGTTTCTGCATACGAACCTTGCAATTATTTAGATTTAAAACATGTTTGCAATATGGAAGGAGCTGATAATTAAAATCCACGGAATAATTTGTAATTACTTCGTTATTGTTTAAGACCATCGTTCTGTAACAGTAAGAATGAATGTACTCTTGTCTGAATGTTTCTCTTGCACTTATAAACTTTCCCTTTGTTGCCCCTCTCCTTGTTTCTTCGACACTTGTATCCGTTTCTTTTGTTGCGCCTTCTAATATCTCTTAACGTCTCTTATATGGTGTTTTGCAGAAGGAATGGAGAGAAAAAAGAGATGAATTCAAGAAAAGGGTCAGTCGTTGTGTAAGACGGTCACAGGAAATGTAGTAAACATGCATGCCAACTTGCATTTCTGCGATTAAGCTAAGGAATTGGCATCGTTCTTTTGGCTGGCTGTTTATTTATTGTTACAAATGTAGAATTTGTTCACCGTTGCAGATTCTGTGTTGTGCCTTCTGGTTCTGGTCTTGGGGGTTTGGTCTTTTTTACATTTTTATTATCTTTATTACTTTGAAGGTTAATTGCCATTAAGTTAGATTTATTTATAAAAGAACTTAGTTGTTGCTGAACGTTGTGATCTCTAGCCTCTGCCTTTTAAAATTTTCTAATGCGACGTTCTAAATTGTGTGTCAACTGTAACTTGGAAAAATAATACCCAAAAAAATACCATGTTAAGGGTAACGAATGCAACAGGAAGGAAGTCTTCTAATGATTCGTTCTCATTTTAGATGAGATGGTCCCACATTTTAATAATATTAGAGCGCGTAGAGAGTCGTGAAAATAGCTTCTTGTAGAAATGCGTGGTAAAGTGGATCTTTGTGGTATGGCTCTTTTTGGATCCAGCAGAATTTAGTGCACTAGATTACTTTTTTATTAGAGCAGGTAGATAATCCAAGTATGACCTTCTAGTTCTGCCCTTGCTTAAAATATTAAATTGATTTATGTATGGAGTATGTAAGTGACAATAAAAGTAGATATTAAAATAATAATTAGAAAATAATTAAAAACAAGAAAATATTGTACCAAAAGCTTAAGATTCAGGAAGATTGAATTCATAAACGCAACAAATCTTGTTGAATATAGATTGTGTTTAAGCACTTAATATTCATAAAAGAAAAAGTGTAACGCGTATCATACATTCATTCGTTAGGAGAATGAAAGACGAATTTTTTTTATTAATATATCTTGATTAAGAATAAATTAAGATAAAAATAAACATTTTAATAATGGTGATGAACATGTGCGTAGTAGACATTATGTTTAAGTTTTTTCAAAAGCTTAGTCAATCGAAGTCGATGAATGTTCCACTGAGAGCAAATCAGTCAAGCAGCTGCAGCGAAGTGATAAAAAGGACAAAACAAAAGTCAAAGTCCGATATAAAATCCGAAACATCAGGAATGGAGCTTGCAACTACTTCACTATGAACAAAGATTTTTGTGTATGTATATATATATACACACACTCTTAAGTCATATATAAAAATTATACGCATTTTTTGTTATCGAATATAAATAGTTTTTACCGTGGGCTAAAAGTGAAAAAACCCTTCATAATTAGGGTCTCAAATTCGAGCTCGTGGTAAGAAATTATCTTTTTTGAAAAGCTCTACCCCAAATATTTGACAGTTCGACGCGAATTTAAATTTAGTAAAATCTCAATATATATACCAAATAGCAAACGGAAACAACAACAAAAAAAGTTACTTCAGTATGTACAAACGCCATTAAAAATAAACAAATTTACTTAAAACGGCCTTTATAGCACGTGTAGAAAAAGTAGCATTTGAAGTTTGAACATGGAATGTTTTTCAAACTAAAGTGTACGTAAAAACGAAGAAACAAGAAAGAAAGCACCACATACTGCAAAGTAAGGGTGACAAGTGGGCCGGTTAGGCTCGGGACCGGCCCAGGCCTGCGAGCCCATATAGGTAGTGGGCTAAACGGTCCTATCCGTTTAAGCCCGGCACAAAGGAGACATACATGTCAATGTGGGCCGGTTCACAGTAGGGGCCCGTTAGGACCGGGACCGGCTCCTTAGTGGGCCGGTTCAACCGGTCCTAAACGGGCCCAACGGTTAATATTTTTTTTTAAAAAAAAATTCTCAATCCTATTTCTGACCGTTGCACCTTTAAAATGTAGCTGTTATTATTGCCAAAATAGTCGTTGGCTATTTATAAAATAGCCATTTAACAACCCCCCC